CTCCAGTAAACTGTGTTGCCCCCTCCCCCCTAGTGAAAGTCCCTTCTGTCTAAAATATAAACAAAAAAGGGAAGCATTTTCCGGGCAACCTCGTCCCCAGGGCATTTTGCCTCCACGGCTGAAGGTCGGCGAAAATGGCCCTGGGATCGGCAGGTCAAATGACACCCAGAATTTCTGGGTGTTTTGATACGATAATTTATGTGAAATTAATCTTCGTTGTTTGTTTACGAATAATAAATGTGAAGTAATCAACCATTTGCCAACTTATTCACCCAAAGACGTTATTTTAAGAGCGGTATCCTTGCATAATTCTTCCTATATCCGTGAGTCTGACAAATACATAGTACAGCAAGTATAGGACGTAAGTGAATCTTAACGTATACTCTCGGTATTTTCTTAAGTTTGCCGTATACAGACAAAAAATTTTAAAGCACCACAATTGTTTGAATAAATTATACTGTAGAGGAATTAATGCGTTTTTGAACAGACCAATGGGATTGTAGAATTGATCAGCCGATCCAAGGGCCATTTTTGCCGACCTTCAGCCGTGGAGGCAAAATGTCCTGGGGACGTGGTTGATTCTCCGGGGTGGACCCCAAACCCTCTTACAAGTTGGCATTTTTCTAGTTCACCACCTCCAATGTTTCAAATGGTGGTCAAACTTGGGAAATTTTCCAATGGTTTCCAATTTTTCGAACGTTTAAATAAAAAAGCTGTTAGTAAACTGCGCTGTTCAACCTTTTTAATTAGAATTAATAAACCAAAGCGATATTTGAATATTGACCGTATTTGATCCACAGAAATGCGGCACTATAGTATAAGATTGGTGTATCCTTTCTAAATTCCACTGCCGTTGTCGCAATGATTTTACGGCAATTGCTAGATAGTATACTTCAAAATAAGGTTTCCGTTTTTATATCAATTTTTAAAGTAAGTTAGAGTTCGGTTAGAGTTAGGTTAGGTTAGGATCAGGTTAGGGTTAGTATTAGAGTTTAGTTTTGCGTTAGGATAGTTTTTTCTACGTTATAAAAACGGAAACCTTATTTTGAAGTATACTATCTAGCGATCACCATGATTTTACATAGCTTACCCCAGTGAACTCTATGGATATATCTGGAGTAAGAACTTCAGTCATTCGGCCTATGAGAAAAGTGAAGTCAAGATGGCGGAAATTGACGACCAATAGCTATGGCGGTCGTAAACAGTATTAATACCATTTTTCCCAGCTAATTCTAGTTTCTTCTACCGGACGTATCGCTGATCAAGTTAGAGGTGCATAAAACCATAGTATTATTCATTAAATTGAGGTAAAAATCACGAAATTTCGGCACACTCCTCGCCAATACCAATAGCTCTTCAATTTCTGCCATCTTTGCTTCACTTTTTGGTCCCGAGTTTTCGCTCCAGTTATTTATGGAGCTCACTGGATAACCCTAGTCTATAGTCTTAACTTTAATTCTAACTCTCACCTCCACTGTAACACTCATCTCCAACTCTCACAACACACTGTATAACCATGCACCATGAATGATCAAAATCAAAGAAATACGGTACACAACAATTTGATTTCCCCCTGAAAATTTAGATGTTGTGTATACTGTACAAAAAAATGGAAAAGTTCCTGTGGTGTTTCAACTCGCACATGCATGAGTTTCATGAAAAATCAAAATGCATACTCACTTCAATGTCAAGAAACGTATCGGCAGGTTTTCCAGAAACTGTGAATGTACCCTTGAATAGAGCAGGTTGTGATAACACTGTACGAGGAGACTCTTCCATCCACCCACTGTCACTGTAAAGAGATAACTATATAGTTTTAAATGCATTTTGGTGGTTAACGTGGTTTTGCATCATAGCGCTCGTAAAGGACGCAAAAAATTAAAAATCAAGTTTTGTCATATGTGTTGAAGATTATACCACAAACTGACACAAACACAATTTTTAATCCAGTCTCCTCATTGATAAACCTCAGCTTCATTATCTATTGTCTTAATTGCATTCGACGCGACCGAAGCGACCTTTTTCCTTTGTCGGCTATCCATTTTGCCACGTCTTGCTGACGTAATAAGTGATACCGACAAAGGAAAAAGGTCGCTTCGCGCAAGAAAATTCGCTAGTGGAAAACCGGCTTTAAGCTCGCGTTATTATATTATAGACAGTTTTCCCTTCGCTGATTCGCACGGTAACGGAGTGAGTCGACTACGCCAGACAAAAGCTATCTTCACAGGTATAATAAGCACTCGTATATACACCTACCTTTCTACCAGTTTGTTAACAAAATCACTTTTGAATTCAAACGGAACAATTTTCCAATGTCTGTGCAATATTCTATCAACTGTAACGCTACCAAGTATACCTAAAAATAGAATACGAATAATCCATAAAAATGAGTCATGCACCATGCCATTCGACATACACCTGCCAAAATGAAGAGATTATTCGACATTTTTCAGAATCGAGAAATGGCGATCGAAAGTAGGTTTGTATATAGGACATCTTTAAGAATATTTACGAATTAGTCGGACATTCTTTTTGTGTAGCAACGGAAGAATTTTTGAAACTGTCAAGTATAAACGTCTTTTGTTTTCATGCTTTAATAGACAACTTGCATGTTAGACTATAATTTTTGATTTAGGCAAAAAAAAAGTAAATTCCTGTAAAGAACTTACTAAAATAAGTAAAATTGCAAAATTTGGTTACGAAATGTTGTAAAATACAGAAAATATAGCCTTGCGAAGTTTGCATATTTTCAGTATGTTTGTATTACGTGCGGAAATTGTTACCATTTTTGAGCCGAAATTGGTAACAATTTCCGCACATACTGATAAATATACTGAAAATATGCAAACTTCTCAAGGCTATATTTTCTGTTTACAACATTTCGCAACTAAATTTTGCAATTTTACTAATTTATATGTTCTTTTTAACTGTTGTGTTTGATTCCCTTCTCTTTACTTAGATTAAAATTTAGTCTAACATGCAAGTTGTCCATTGTTGTTGAGATATTTCCACTTGACGACTTGTCTGATATGCTGATCGATTAATAGGGTTTGTTCTCGGGGGACTTCAATGCGGACTCGGAGTCATAGGCGTACCGGGCGGGGGGGGGGGGGGGGGGGGGGGGGGGGGCGGCGGTAGCCCCCCAGTTTTTTGGGCAGTCGGGCAATATTCGATCAACAGTCGGGCAATTTCGGTTTGCAATAAAAAAAAATGGGACAAATTCTGTCAATTTTGTCTAAAATTAAGTTAATTTTTGGCAAATTTTGTGATTTTTCGAAAATTTGTGTTATGTTCCGAAAAATATTTGTTGTCCGGAAAATTTTTTTGACCCCTAAAATGGTACACTGACCCAAATTTTTTTGGCGACGGGGGGGGAGGGAGGTCGCCAAAATAATTTTTCCGGACAAATATTTTTGGTACTAGTCGGGCAGAATCCCGAAAAGTCGGGCAATTTTCTTTCCGCCCCCCTAATTTTTTCCTTCCGGTACGCCCATGCTCGGAGTATAAATTAAGCAGAGATTTATCATCTCATTATCTAGGCTATTGTCTTAATTGCATTCGATGCGACCAAAATTTGACGTATAAAACAGGCCTTAGCCAGACTTACACTCACATTATAATCATGAATAGTTGATGAGGTAAAGCCACAATCAAAATTAAACGTTCCATTCTGGTGATATACAGGGTGTATAAAAAAAAACGCAACCTCGGAATTTCCTAAGAAATCACTTTGCAATTCTTAAGCATAAAAGATTTTAGGCCCCTGGGAATTGAAATCGAATTGCTAATAGATCATATTACTGTTGTTGTGCATTAAATAAATTTTGCTTTATGCACTCGCGTGTGCAGTAATTTTGACAGTTATGCTATTTTAAATTCCCAGGCGCCTAAAATCTTTTGTCTTTAAAACAATGTCGATTTCTTGGGAAATTCCGAGGTTGCGCTTTTTTTGATACACCTGTATATGGCATGTATATATCATATAATGTCACAGCTGCATGCCTCGAAATCCTTTGTTTCGCGAGGGAAGATTAATGACTAATTTACCTCATTGCTAAAACATGAGGGACGATTAGAAACTATTCATCCCACCGGACGATTAGTTACTATTAATCGTGCCTCATCTCTATGTATAACCTCTTATACTGATGTTCAATTAAATATTTAACAGACATGTAACCTCATTAACGAACATCCCAATAGTCATTAGCATAGGCGTACGGGACGGGGGGGCAGGGGGGGCAACTGCCCCCCCCCCCCCAAACAGATTACAAAGTCGAAAATTCGGGCAAATGTGCAACAAAAGTCAGGCAAAAGTCGGGCAAAAAGTAGTCAAAACAAGAAAATCTCGCTTAATAATAACACCAGTTTGTTGGACAAACAAAGCCAGTTGGGCAATAAATGGGACAATTCTGTCAATTTTGTGGGAAATTATGTCAATTTTTCGATTTTTGGCAATAATTTTTTGAAGTTCCTAAAAATTTAGGTATGTCCGAAACATTTTTTGACCCCTAAAATGGTACATTTACACGGGGGGGAGGTGGGGGGTGGGTGGAGGTCGCCAAAATAAATTGTTCCGGAAAAACTTTTTTTTGGCACTTGTCGGGCAAAAACCGAAAAAGTCGGGCAAATTTCTTTCTGCCCCCCAAAATTCTTGCCTTCCCGTACGCCTATGGTCATTGGTGATCGCTAGATAGTATACTTCAAAATAAGGTTTCCGTTTTTATATGACATAGAAAAAACTATCCTAACTCAAAACTAAACCCTAACCCTAATACTATCCCTCACCCTACCCTTAACCTAACCCTAACCTAAACCCTAACCTAACCCTAACTTATTTTAAAAATTGAGATAAAAACGGAAACCTTATTTTGAAGTATACTATCTAGCAATTGCCCTATGATATTACACATGCAGTGATAGCATGGCCATGAAGGAACAAGGAACTAATCAGTACGTGCCATACTACCATCAAAATGTATCCACCTTGTTAGATTACTCGCATGCCCAGTCACCAACCAATGTTATAACAATGTAAACATAGAACTAAACAAATTTAACCAAGTTTTTGAATTGTATTATTTCTAACATTAACCGCCGATTAATCCTGTTTCCAAAATATATATATATATATACAGGTGTATCAAAATAAACGCAATTCATCTTTTGTGCTTAATAACTTTCGAAATACTATTTCTAGTTAAACGCTTTTAGGCTTACTTCAAAGCCTGTTCTTTTCTCTTTCAAACAAACTATTATCCTTGTCTCCAATGCTAGTAATAATTGCACAGGAAAAGATTTAGTAAAACCTATAATTTTTAGTTGCTGTTTAATTATGCAAGTTTACTATATTATTGTTTAGTCGGTTTAAATGTTAGAATTTTCTTCTTTAAACTTTAATGTTGTCGTCACTACATCTGGAAAACCACGTAAGAACAAATTAAAAGTATTTTAAAAGAGACCAGGTTGTTTGAAAATCCTAAACGAATGCTAAAAATCGTCAAAACATTCTGTGTCTGAGCCAGTGTCATCGAATTGCGATGTAATGTAAACAGAAATTATAGCAAGTTGATGTCAGTCAGCTTAGATGGTCCAAGCCAAAATTATATCGCATTTGAAGTTTCAAACTGAGTTAAAAATAGCGGAAGAAAAGCCGTAATTATACTTATTGTTACAATCCATTTAATAAAATGCAACATTTTTGTTTTAATGAAAAAATCAGTTATTTTCATGAGAACGATTTGTTATTCCATCTCAATTTTTTTAATCTCCAATCGCAATAACGTAAAGTATTATTACCCGCGAACCAATGAGTCAAATTTAAGAAACAACCCACTGTTAGAAAGCTGAATGGCTACGCTTTAAAATGAATGTAAACTTTAACGTTTTCGTCTATTATTTGTTTAGCAATTTACATTTCAGTCGAGGATTGCGCTTTTTTTGATACACCTAGCTGTATATATTGACGACTCTCAATTCCAATATGTGCTTAATTTTGTTTCCAAATTTGTCATGGATTTATGCCTTACATCTTAAAAAGAGAGAAACGGCAAGTAATTGGTAGCCTATATAGCAGAATATTTGATATCAGTAATTGTAATACATGGTTTATAGGGCCACAATTTAAACTACTGGGAAACCAGTAATTTGTCCATCCCCCAAAAAAGTATCTATAGAAAAGTTGAATAAGATCGAGGGGCGTATCACTCCAAAAACATGTTTGGGATATCAAAAATCCTGTGGTATTTATTTTTTATTTTTCCAGCAGTGATTTTTCAACTAATGATAGTGTTGTTACTTTTACAATCTAAGTTTAATTTATACACACATGATTTTAACATTATATTTACTTTGTACATACTTGAATTGACTATAATTACAGTCTCTATGACACTTTAGAACAGTTTTTAAGATTCTATAGTTGTACGTGAAATGCCAAGAACACCACATTTATTTTGGACAAAGTGAGAAACTCGTTAAAAGTGACAGCAATTTTATACTCAGATCTAGATACCTCAATATCTCAGAAAAGAGCTCTGGCGGCCTCTGCTTTTGATTTAAGAGCTCTGCTTTTGAATCCGTGCTCTGACGAAAACGATAAGGAAACCGAAAACCTTAATAGGTCACGAAAGCCGAGTTGATAAAGGTCAACAAGACAACATGGCCGCACAACTAGGTATACTGTGGCCGGGTGTGATGTTCTTTCAGGGCGCGAAATAACGGCCGGTCAACGGACAATGTCCGGCCAGAATCCGCTCAAATTCTTACCTTGCCGGTCATTTTGACCGATCACTTTCGGTAAAAGAACAAACTAATCTTCCGTTTGAATTAATAATCAAAACAAAGTTGTCAAGTATTATAATTAAGAACCATAAGATGTTGTCGAATATTTTGCGGGAAAAGAACTTCAATGTACGGCAGCTTTCCCACGTCACAAAGCCCATGCATGGCCATACTTTTGGCTTAAGAGTTAAAGGTCATGCTTTTAGCGCAGTGCAAGCTGTTTTATGAGCCTTTATGTGAAGGAGTTTTTAATTACTGATTACAGTATAAGGCTTTTTGTAATGCTAAAAAAATATGGGAAAATAGTCCTGAAAGCACATTAAGGGGGGTGTGGGGGGGGGGGTGTAACACCCCCCCATGTTTTGTGAAATATATCTAAAAAGTCGGTCCCGAATCCTGTATGGGACGAAAAAAAGTCGGTCCGGCTAAAATCTGAAAGACATCATTTTGTGTCGAAAAAAGAAATAGGTGGACATTTTGGAAATGGAATCTAACAAAATTAGGCGACTTTTTGTGGGTAACTTTTCTTCCAACCTCATCCTAAAATATGTGAAATAGCGTTCTAATGAATCT